GGGTCCCCTGCAGCCAGGGCCGCCAGCGAGGGGATGATGAATAAAAGTTCTAGGCACCCTTGTCCACTTCATGGGCTTTCTCGGTTTTGCTCCCACACCTGCCAGCTTCTCTTTCTTCTCTCACGCGTGTTGCTGAGGAGCGAGAGCCCCGGGGCCGCGTCCTGGCACCCCTCTGCGGGGCTCTCCCTGTGCCGCCACGGCTGTCACCGGTGGTGTCAGCTCCACGGGACGGGCACAGGGAGCAAACGGGCACTTCCCAGTGGGCGATCCTGCTGGGCGAGAAGTCGTTGCCTGCTATATCTATTTTATTTTTGCTTGAGGATCTCCGTGATGGAGCAATTCCCTTTTCCCTTGGAATCGCCGCTGCCCGGGAGCACCGAGGCTTGGCATCCAGCCCCGATGGAGCCCGGAGCAGCTCCCCTGGATGAGCTTCTCTGCTTCTTTTCTCTTCCAAACAGGTGGTTGCAAAGAGGGGCAAGGACTACATCCTAAAGCACGTCCCGAACATGCACAAAGATCAGTTTGCCCTGACGGCCTCCGAAGCCCACCTCAAGTACATCAAGGAGGCCGTCCGGCTGGACGACGTGGCCGTGCATTACTACAGGTTGTACAAGGTGAGCCCCCGGCCGGGCTTTGGATTCGGGATTGCTTTTTATTAAAAGGAGCAACCGCCGAGCAATTTCTAAGGTATTTTGGGAAGAGCCGCGTTTAAATTGGCACTCGCTGGCTGGAACAGAGTGGGTTTGAGGGCAGTGCTTCGCTCCCAGAGGCAGGGAGGTGAAGGGTTTTTTTGTAGTCTTGCCATTTTCTACAAGTTACGGAGAGGTGAGAGGTTTGCCGGAGGCAGCCGTGAGGTTTCTGGGATCTTATTTTTTGGTAGCCCCTCCCTGAGAAATACAGGGTGGGTTTTTCTCCTGGGAACAAAGCGCTTTGTTTGCTGGGAGCTGGTGTTTCACGACCCGTTTGGTAGCATCCTTAAGTGAAAGAGGAGAAACCTTCGGGAGAGCACAAGGTGCCACTGTAGGAACAGGTTGGGCTCAAGCGTTGAAGCATCCCAGCTCTGTTTCTGAAGGTCCTGCCAAGTTTTCTGAGGTTAAACTGCTTTTCCAGACCCTTAAGCTGGGATGTTTCTGGGCGGTGAGGGGAGCAGCAGGCACCCGAGGGGCGAGACTGGGGAGGGTGTTAGAGGATGGGACCGGACGGGGTGTGTGCGTCACGAATGAAACAGTTGGACTCGATGATGTTAAAGGTTTTTTCCAACCTTTCTATGATTAATGTGGCACCTA